TCTACCACCTACCCCAACACTCTAACCATAACCCCTAACTCTAACCATAACCCCTAACCTCTAACCATAACCCCTAACTCTAACCATAACCCCTAACCTCTAACCATAACCCCTAACCCCTAACCCTAACCCCTAACCCCTAACCATAACCCCTAACCTCTAACCTCTAACCCCTAACCTCTAACTCTATACAGGTAAGGGATGGTAACACAAGCACCTGTGTGACGCGGTTGAGGCGTTGGCTGGTACACTTGGTCTCGTACTCCGGTCGCAGCTGGAGCTGCTGCTGCTCTTCCTCAAAGTCCACCAGGTCCCACTCATACTCCAGCCGGGCCTGGCGACGCTTCCAGAACTCCAGGAACAGAGTCACTGCAGAAGGAAGGACAGGAGGAGGAGACATAGTCAGGGCCAAAAAAGACTCTTTGGAAAGGCTTGGTAGAACTGTGGCGCAGTGGTCTAAGGCACTGCATCGCAGTGCTAGCTGTGCCACTAGAGATCCTGGTTCGAATCCAGGCTCTGTCGTAGCCGGCCGCGACCGGGAGACCCATGGGGCGGCGCACAATTGGCCCAGCGTCGTCCAGGGTAGGGGAGGGAATGGCCGGCAGGGATGTAGCTCAGTTGGTAGAGCATGGCGTTTGCAATGCCAGGGTTGTGGGTTCGATTCCCACGGGGGGGGCCAGTATTAAAATGTATGCACTCACTAACTGTAAGTCGCTCTGGATAAGAGCGTCTGCTAAATGACTAAAATGTAAATGTAAACTGAATTTTACTAGCAATAGTTTTAAGAATTGTGGAGATATCCCTCATCCCAGTGTGTCAGCTATATTCAGTAGGAATTCAACCACATGACTCCCTTTTCATACAGATGAGGCTGGGCACCAGTATGTTTTCTGCTAACATTCCACTTTTCTGTGTCATGTGTTTTTGCGAAAGGGTCGCAGGTTCGAATCCCCGAGCGACAAGGTGAAAAATCTGCCGATGTGCCCTTGAGCAAGGCACTTAACCCTAATTGCTCCTTTAAGTCGCTCTGGATAAGAGTGACTGCTAAATGACTAAAAACATTTTTTACAAAACGTAAACAAGGTCCCGACGTCAGGCTAGAGAAGCTCGGCAGTTATAAAGTACAGAAGTACTCCAAGAGAACGTCTGTTTTCCAGTTGTAGCTATTGGCAGCTGCCACTAGGGGGGGTACTCAGTCTAGTCATGCACAGTTACAGTACTCAGTGCCTGTCACTTACCCCAAATCCCCATGAATATGGCAAAGAACACCGTCCCCACATTGTCAAACATGTGCGATTGCTGAAAGAAGAACAACGTGGGGTAAAGTTCATACACAAAAGAACGTCTTAAAAGCAGAAAAACAAGAGAGGGATCTAAAGTTCCTTAGAGATATGCGTCGACAAAATAAAACACATTTCCAACAACGATTATCTTTAGCATGGATGCACTCCTTACCCAGGACGAGTTACACGTTGTGTTGAGTTTCCAGTAGCCACATGTCTTGTCACACAGCGGACACATGATGATGTTGCCTCCGATCTCCTCACTGCAGATTTCTTTACTGGAATAACCAAGGGATTTCAAAACAACGGAAGTGATAGTCTCATGATGTAGGTCTACTGCATCAAAACATATGAGCTACATTATCAGCCACCTTCACTTAGCTATAATTATTAGTCTGTCCCAATCGTTGGACGTATCAATCTGACATCCCCGGACAACGTACAAATGTATAATAACTACACTGGATACTGCTTACACCAACTCAGTCCTTTCAGATCAACAGGAGCGCCTAGGGGCTAGGGGATAGGGGCTAGGGGCTAGGGGGTAGGGGCTAGGGGATAGGGGCTAGGGGCTAGGGGATAGGGGCTAGGGGCTAGGGGATAGGGGCTAGGGGATAGGGGCTAGGGGCTAGGGGATAGGGGATAGGGGATAGGGGATAGGGGCTAGGGGCTAGGGGATAGGGGCTAGGGGCTAGGGGCTAGGGGATAGGGGCTAGGGGATAGGGGCTAGGGGATAGGGGCTAGGGGATAGGGGCTAGGGGCTAGGGGCTAGGGGATAGGGGCTAGGGGATAGGGGCTACACAACACAAGCGTAGGGGCTAGTGCCTAGGGGCTAGGGGATAGGGGCTAGTGCCTAGGGGCTAGGGGTTGAATTGGGATTCAGGGGCCCTCACCTCCAGATGTTGTCATCGAAGGTGAACAATCCATAGAGAAAACAGATCAGGCCTACTACCGCAGCGAAGAACAGCATCTCAGTGTAGAAACCCAGCCAGGCAAAGTAGATCCCAATCTTCTCCCCGTAATACTTCCTGTTATGGGAAATGCAACACAACCAATCAAACATCTTCTCCTCATAATACTTCCTGTTATGGGAAATACAACACAACCAATCAAAACAACAACAATCAGGTTGTGAATTCCAGGTCAGGTCAGGTCTATCTAGTGTCTAAAAATAATGGGCAAATGCAGTTACAGTAAATAACAGCCCCCCCTGTAGCTCAGTTGGTAGATCATGGCGCTTGCAACGCCAGGGTTGTGGGTTTGATTCCCACGGGGGGCCAGTATGAAAATGTATGCACTCACTAACTGTAAGTCGCTCTGGATAAGATCGTCTGCTAAATGACTAAAATGTAAATGACCTGGGCACTGAGGTTCACTTTTAAAGGTGAATTCAGCTTGAGGTGATATCTGCAGAGTTTACAGCAATCAAGATCTCTGGAAATATACTGTTAGGTAAATTGCTTTTTAAATGTCTGTCACTGTGCGTAGGTGGTTCATCTATGTTGGATTAAACAACGGGTGGGTCTAATCCTGAATGCTGATTGGTCAAAACCGCATTCCAGCCGGTGTCTATTCCACAAGTTACCACCGGCTAAATCTATGACGTTAAAATGCCTATTTACTCAGTTCCCTCTGACTGCCCAATCCACTGTCTCATCAGCCCAGCCAGGCAATTTATAAACTTGATCTCCACTATAAAAAGCATCTAGACATTATCTCACATTTCTTTTAGACTAACATTTAGTTTTCAACAGCGGAGATTTATGTAAACCTTGCTGTCTGTCTCGCCGACATTTGCAACATTGTTTCAATATTCAAATTCGATCTCCAGCTGTCCCATAGTAATGAATGTGTCGGGGTCGGGACGAGACAGTTGTTGTGTCATGTTGTGTCATGTGTCGTGTTGTGTTGTGTTGTGTCATGTTGTGTTGTGTCATGTTGTGTCATGTTGTGTTGTGTCATGTTGTGTCATGTTTGTGTTGTTGGCCGTGTTGTGTGGTGTCATGTTGTGTCATGTTGTTTGTGTCAATGTTGTGTCATGTTGTGTTGTGGTCGAGTTGTGTTGTGTTTGTGTTGTTGTTGTGTTTTGTGTGTGTCGGTGTTGTGTTGTGTCGTGGTTGTGTTGTGGTTGTGGTTTGTGTCCATGTTGTGTTGTGTCCCATGTGGTGTCATGTTGTGTTGTGTCATGTTGTGTCATGTTGTGTTGTGTCGTGTTGTGTTGTGGTCATGTTGTTCATGTTGTGTTTGTGTCATTGTTGTTGTGTTGTGTCATGTTGTGTCATGTTGTGTTGTGTATGTGGTGTGTCAGTTGTGTTGTTTCATGTGTTGTGTTGTGTCCGTGTTTGTGTTGTGTTGTGTGTCCATGTTGTGTCTGTTTGTGTGTTGTGTTGTTTGTTGTTTGTTTGTGTTGTTGTGTATTGGGTTGTGTTGTGTGTGTTGGTTGTGTGGTTGTTCAGTTGTGTTGTGTAATGTGTGTCTGTTGTGTTGTGTCGTGTGTGTTGTGTGTTTGTTGTGTTGTGTCATGTTGTTTTGTGTTGTGTATGGTGTTGTGTCATGTTGTGTTGTGTTGTGTCATGTTGTGGTTTCATGTGGTGTTGTTGTGTTGTGTTGTTGTGTTGTGTCATGTTGTGTTTGGTCATGGTTTGTGTGTGTTCGTGTTTGTGTTCGTGTTTGTTGTTGTGTCTGTTGTGTATGTTTGTGTGTTGTGTGTATGTTGTGTGTTTGTTGGTGTGTATGTTGTGTTGTGTTGTGTTGTGTTGTGTCATGTTTGTGTTGTTGTAGTTGTGTTGTGTGTGCGGTTGTGTTGTGGTTGTTGTGTCATGTTGTGTGTGGTTGTGTGTGTTTTTGTGTTGGGTGTCATGTTGTTGTTTGTCGTTGTGTTGTGTCAGTTGTGTTTGTGTTGTGTTCGTGTTGTGTTGTGTCATGTTGTGTGATGTTGTGTTGGTGTCATTTTGTGTTGTGGTGTGTGTGGGGTGTGTCGGGGTGTAGTGTGTTGTGTGTGTTTGTGTTGTGTTGTGTTTTGTTTGTTGTGGTTGGTGTGTCATGTTGTGTTGTGTGTGTTGTGTCTGTTGTGTTGTGGTTGTGTGTTGTGTTGTGTGTGTTGGTTGTGTCATGTTGTGTGTGTCGTTGGTTGTGTTGTGTCATGTTGTGTCATGTGGGTGTGTTGTGTCATGTTGTGTTGGTCATGTGTGTTGTTGTGGTGGGTGTTCATGTTGTGTTTGTGTCATGTGTGTGGTGTGTGTTGTGTGTGTTGGTGTCATGTTGTCGTGTGTGTGTTGTGTTGTGTCATGGGGTTGTTGTTTGTTGTTGTCATGTGGTGTGTGTTGTGTTGTGTCATGTTGTTGTTGTGGTTGGGTGTTGTGTTGAAGTGGTTGTTGTTGTTGTTGTGTGTGTTGTGTTGGTGTGTTGGGTGTGTGTGTTTTGTTGTGTATGTTTGTTTGTGTGTGTTGTGTATGTGTCGTGTGTTGTGTGTGTGTTGTGTTGTGTGTTGTTCATGTTGTGTTGTGTTGTGTTGTCGTGTGTGTTGTGTGTGTGTTGTTGGTGTCATGTTGGTTGGTCATGTTTGTTTTGTTGTGTTGGTAGGTGGTGTGTGTTTGTTGGTGTGTGTCATGGTTGTGTCGTGTTGTTTTGTGTTGGTTTGTTTGTTGTGTGTGCGTTTGGTGTTTGGTTGTGTTGTGTCATGTTGTGTCGTGTTGTGTTGTGTTGTGTTGTGTTGTGTCATGTGTGTTGTGTTTGTGTATGTTGTGTTGTGTCATGTTGTGTGTGTGTGTGTGTTGTGTCTGTTTTGTTGGTTGTGTCATGTGGTTTTGTGTTGTGCATGTTGTGTGTGTGTCGTGTGTTGTGTCATGTTGTGTTGTGTCATGTTGTGTTCATGTTGTGTGTGTAGGTGTGTGTGTTTGGTTGTCGTGTGTGTGTTATGTGTGTGTGTGTTGTGTGTGTGTTGTGGTGTTGTGTGTGTGTGTTGTGTGTATGTTGTGTTGTGTCGTTGGTTGTGTCTGTTGTGATGTTTGTGTTGTGTGGTAGTTGTGTTGTGTCTGTTTGTTGTGTTGTTTTCGTGTTGTGTATGTGTTGTGTCATGTGTTGGTGTTGTGTCGGTTGTGTTGTGTGTGTGTGTGTGTTGTGTCATGTTGTGTTTGTGTGTATGTTGTGTTGTGTCGGGTCGTTGTGTGTGTATGTTGGGTATTTTGTGTTGTGTATGTGTGTGTTGTGTGTGGTCGGTGTGTGTGTCAGTTGTGTATGTTGTGTGTGTTGTGTTGTGTGTGTTGTGTCGTTTTGGGGTGTTGGTGTCTGTTGTGTTGTGTCTGTGGTGTTGTGTCATGTTGTGTTGTGTGTGTTGTGTCGTGTGTGTTGTTGTGTGTGTATGTTGTGTTGTGCTTTGTGTTGTGTCTGTTGTGTCGTGTTGTTGTGTCATGTTGTTGTGTCATGTGTCATGGTTGGTTGTTGTGTCATGTTGTGTGGTTTTTGTCAATGTTGTGTTGGTCATGGTGTTGTTGTGTATGTTGTGTTGTGTCATGTTGTGTGTTGTGTGTGTTGTGTCAGTTGTGTTGTCGTTGTGTCGTGTGTGGGTTGTTGTGTCATGTGTGTTTGTTTGTATGTTGTGTAGTTGTGGGTGGTCGTTGTGTTGTGTATGTGTTGTGTATGTGTGTGTCTGTTGTGTTGTGTGTTGTGTTGTGTCATGTGTGTGTTTGGTGTCGTGTTGTGTTGTGTCATGTTGTGTTGTGTGTGTGGTGTGGTTTTTGTTTGTGTGTGGTGTGTTGTGTGTTGTGTCATGTTGTGTTTTTGTTGGTTGTGTCGTTGTGTTGTGTCATGTGTGTCGTGTTGTGTGTTGTGTATGTTGTGTGTTTGTTGTTGTGTCATGTTGTGTGGTCATGTTGTGTCGTGTTGTGTGCATGTTGTGTTGTGTATGTTGTGTTTGTGGTCATGTTGTGTGTGTCGTGTTGTGTTTGTGTCATGTTGTTTTTGTGTCATGTTGTGTTGTGGTTGTGTGTGTGTTGTTTGTGTCATGTTGTGTTGTGTATGTTGTGTGTGTCATGTTTGTGTTGTGTCATGTTGTGTAGTTGTGTAATGTTGGTTGTGGTCATGTTGTGTGTGTGTCATGTTGTGTTGTGTATGTTGTGTTGTGTCATGTTGGTGTGTTGTGTTGTGTTGTTGTTGTTGTTGTGTTGTGTTGTGTTGTGTCCGGTTGTTTGTTGTGTCATGTTGTGTGTGTGTTGTTTTGTGTCAGTGGGGTTGGTCGTGTCTGTGGTTGTTGTGTTTGTGTTGTGTCGTGGTGTTGTTTTTGGGTGTTTTGTGTCATTGTTTGTGTGTTGTTGGTCATGTTTTTGTGTATGTGTGTTGTGTATGTTGTGTGTGGTGTGTTGTTGTTGTGTGTTGTGTCATGTTGTGTTGTGTCATGTTGTGTCGTGTTGTGTTGTGTTGTTGTGGTCATGTTGTGTTGTGTCATGTTGTGTTGTGTCATGTTGTGTTGTGTATGTTGTGGTTATGTTTGTGTTGTGTTTTTGTGCATGTGTGTGTGTTGTTGTGTTGTTTTCATGTTGTGTTTGTGTGTGTTTGGGGTGTGTTGTGTCATGTTGTGTTGTGTTTGTGTATGTTGTGTTGTTTGTGTGTGTCATGTTGTGTTGTGTTGTGTATGTTGTTTTGTGTCATGTTGGTTGTGTGTTGTTTGTGTTGTGTCATGTTGTGTCGTGTTGTGTGTTGTGTCGGTGTGTTTGGTGTGGTTGTTCATGTTGTGTTGTGTCATGTTGTGTCGTGTTGTGTCATGTTGTGTTGTGTCATGTTGTGTTGTGTTGTGTCATGTTGTGTTGTGTTGTGTGTGTTGTGTCATGTTGTGTTGTGTTGTGTCATGTTGTGTTGTGTTGTGTCATGTTGGTTGTGTATGTGTGTGGTTGTGTTTTGTGTCTGTTGTGTTGTGTCGTGTTGTGTCGTGTCGTGTTGTGTTGTGTCATGTTGTGTTGTGTCGTGTCATGTTGTGTCATGTTGTGTCGTGTTGTGTCATGTTGTGTTGTGTCATGTTGTGTTGTGTTGTGTCATGTTGTGTCGTGTCGTGTCGTGTCGTGTCGTGTCATGTTGTGTTGTGTCGTGTTGTGTCGTGTCGTGTTGTCTCATGTTGTGTCGTGTCATGTTGTGTTGTGTCATGTTGTGTTGTGTCATGTTGTGTTGTTTTCTCACCGTATCAAGTTGAGAGGCTGCTCTTTGAAGAAACTGAAGAACCGGGCCCAGTTTTTATAGAGGCTGAATCTCTCACTCTCACTGTTGGGGTCCCTGGATGCCTTCCAGTACCGAGACTGTATACATACAGAGGGATACATGTCATTCAGAGTGTGATGGTCCTACTGGATACATGTCATTCAGAGTGTGATGGTCCTACTGGATATATGTCATTTATAGTGTGATGGTCCTACTGGATACATGTCATTTATAGTGTGATGGTCCTACTGGATACATGTCATTTATAGTGTGATGGTCCTACTGGATACATGTCATTTATAGTGTGATGGTCCTACTGGATACATGTCATTTATAGTGTGATGGTCCTACTGGATACATGTCATTTATAGTGTGATGGTCCTACTGGATACATGTCATTTATAGTGTGATGGTCCTACTGGATACATGTCATTTATAGTGTGATGGTCCTACTGGATACATGTCATTTATAGTGTGATGGTCCTACTGGATACATGTCATTTATAGTGTGATGGTCCTACTGGATACATGTCATTTATAGTGTGATGGTCCTACTGGATACATGTCATTTATAGTGTGATGGTCCTACTGGATACATGTCATTTATAGTGTGATGTCCTACTGGATACATGTCATTTATAGTGTGATGTCCTACTGGATACATGTCATTTATAGTGTGATGGTCCTACTGGATACATGTCATTTATAGTGTGATGGTTCTACTGGATACATGTCATTTATAGTGTGATGGTCCTACTGGATACATGTCATTTATAGTGTGATGGTCCTACTGGATACATGTCATTTATAGTGTGATGTCCTACTGGATACATGTCATTTATAGTGTGATGGTACTACTGGATACATGTCATTTATAGTGTGATGTCCTACTGGATACATGTCATTTATAGTGTGATGTCCTACTGGATACATGTCATTTATAGTGTGATGGTCCTACTGGATACATGTCATTTATAGTGTGATGGTCCTACTGGATACATGTCATTTATAGTGTGATGGTCCTACTGGATACATGTCATTTATAGTGTGATGGTCCTATTGGATAAAAAATGGTATCAATGAGTTCATCTGATTCTGGGTAAGTAGAAAATCTTGAATGACTTCACAGATACTCATTGGCATATGCGCATACCATTAGGCCCAACAAGAGCCCAGAGGGCAAAGCTGTTTTGGCCACCAGGAGAGGGGTCACTATTATACAGTAGCTTCTTACATCATGAAGTGGGAAGGCAGACCCGTAGGTCCCGTTGTTGAGCAGGCGCTTGAGACCCTTCTTGTCCTTGTCCTCCTTGTTGTACGCACAGCGGGCCAGGATATAATACACCTGTAGGAGGAGAGGTGAAAGGTCATTTAGTACACCTGTAGGAGGAGAGGTGAAAGGTCATTTAGTACACCTGTAGGAGGAGAGGTGAAAGGTCATTTAGAACACCTGTAGGAGGAGAGGTGAAAGGTCATTTAGAACACCTGTAGGAGGAGAGGTGAAAGGTCATTTAGAACACCTGTAGGAGGAGAGGTGAAAGGTCATTTAGTACACCTGTAGGAGGAGAGGTGAAAGGTCATTTAGAACACCTGTAGGAGGAGAGGTGAAAGGTCATTTAGAACACCTGTAGGAGGAGAGGTGAAAGGTCATTTAGAACACCTGTAGGAGGAGAGGTGAAAGGTCATTTAGAACACCTGTAGGAGGAGAGGTGAAAGGTAATTTAGACACCTGTAGGAGGAGAGGTGAAAGGTCATTTAGTACACCTGTAGGAGGAGAGGTGAAAGGTCATTTAGTACACCTGTAGGAGGAGAGGTGAAAGGTCATTTAGTACACCTGTAGGAGGAGAGGTGAAAGGTCATTTAGAACACCTGTAGGAGGAGAGGTGAAAGGTCATTTAGAACACCTGTAGGAGGAGAGGTGAAAGGTCATTTAGAACACCTGTAGGAGGAGAGGTGAAAGGTCATTTAGAACACCTGTAGGAGGAGAGTGAAGGTCATTTAGAACACCTGTAGGAGGAGAGGTGAAAGGTCATTTAGAACACCTGTAGGAGGAGAGGTGAAAGGTAATTTAGAACACCTGTAGGAGGAGAGCTGAAAGGTGATTTAGTACACCTGTAGGAGGAGAGGTGAAAGGTCATTTAGTACACCTGTAGGAGGAGACTTGAAAGGTAATTTAGAACACCTGTAGGAGGAGAGGTGAAAGGTCATTTAGTACACCTGTAGGAGGAGACTTGAAAGGTAATTTAGAACACCTGTAGGAGGAGAGGTGAAAGGTCATTTAGAACACCTGTAGGAGGAGAGGTGAAAGGTCATTTAGAACACCTGTAGGAGGAGACTTGAAAGGTAATTTAGAACACCTGTAGGAGGAGAGGTGAAAGGTCATTTAGAACACCTGTAGGAGGAGAGGTGAAAGGTCATTTAGTACACCTGTAGGAGGAGAGGTGTACGTGTAATATTCTATTCATTCATTCTAGAAGTCACTATATTTACAGGCATACCTTGAATGGCTACATTTAAATCTCTGATAAGAAATAAGTTACGACAGTCGACTTGATTCTCCTATAATAAACCCTAATGACGGTGCAGTTGATTCTACTTACTATCCTGTGGCCTACTTACTATCCTGTTGGCATACTTACTATCCTGTTGGCCTACTTACTATCCTGTTGGCCTACTTACTATCCTGTTGGCCTACTTACTATCCTGTTGGCCTACTTACTATCCTGTTGGCCTACTTACTATCCTGTTGCGGACGGAGGGAGGGAAGAAGGTGTCCTTGTCATCGATGAGGAAGAAGTCAGTCTTTCCCTTGTTGAAGGGTGAGGTGAAGTAGTCTGGTTCAGGATTCATAATGTGGTCCGGTAGACGGAAGGGAGTGAACAACCAGTTCATGGGAATGTCCTGGTGGAAGAGGAGACTTTAAGAAGAAGAATCTTTATCATTAAACATTCCTAGCCTGAGTGCTAGTTTTACATTCATAACCTGTGTGCTAGTTTTACATTCATAACCTGAGTGCTTGAGTGCTAGTTTTACATTCATAACCTGAGTGCTAGTTTTACATTCATAACCTGAGTGCTAGTTTTACATTCATAACCTGAGTGCTAGTTTTACATTCATAACCTGAGTGCTAGTTTTACATTCATAACCTGAGTGCTAGTTTTACATTCATAACCTGTGTGCTAGTTTTACATTCATAACCTGAGTGCTAGTTTTACATTCATAACCTGTGTGCTAGTTTTACATTCATAACCTGAGTGCTAGTTTTACATTCATAACCTGAGTGCTAGTTTTACATTCATAACCTGAGTGCTAGTTTTACATTCATAACCTGAGTGCTAGTTTTACATTCATAACCTGTGTGCTAGTTTTACATTCATAACCTGAGTGCTAGTTTTACATTCATAACCTGTGTGCTAGTTTTACATTCATAACCTGTGTGCTAGTTTTACATTCATAACCTGTGTGCTAGTTTCACATTCATAACCTGTGTGCTAGTTTTACATTCATAACCTGAGTGCTAGTTTTACATTCATAACCTGGGGGCCAGTTGTGTTTGACATGACATGATAGCAATGGAGTTGGCAAGAGCACAAACAGATCTTCCCTACAGTCCACGGAAATGTGTCCTGACCAGATTTTCAGTTACGCGATTCGAACCGGCAACCCTCTGGTTGCTGGCTCGCCTCTCTAACCTCTAGGCTAACTGGATGCCTACTGCTAACTGGCTAACTGGCTAACCTCTAGGCTAACTGGATGCCTACTGCTAACTGGCTAACTGGCTAACCTCTAGGCTAACTGGATGCCTACTGCTAACTGGCTAACTGGCTAACCTCTAGGCTAACTGGCTGCCTACTGTACCTTGTGGGTGGGGATGTCACTTTTCTTGAACGGAACCTTGATCTTGAGGACATCGGCGTAGGTGGCTAGCACATCCCATGGAGTGTGGATCTTCACAAAGTATGTCTTACCGTCATCTGACTCCTGATTGGAGGAGAGAAATGGAGAGATGGATGGAGAGATGGAGAGATGGAGAGATGGAGAGATGGAGATATGGGGAGATGGGGAGATGGAGATGGACAGACACAGAAACAGACCAGAGAAACAGACCAGAGACCAGAGAAACATTTACATAAGTTTGCTTTGTCATTATGGGGTATTGTGTGTAGATTGATGAGAAAAAAATAAATATTTAATCAATTTTAGAATAAGGCTGTAACGAAACAAAATGTGGAAAAAGTCAAGGGGTCTGAATACTTTCCGAATGCACTCTAACTTGGTTAGATCTAACTGAATGAACCTTCAGGGCAGGAATCTCACCATAACTTGGTTAGATCTAACTGAATGAACCTTCAGGGCAGGAATCTCACCATAACTTGGTTAGATCTAATTGAATGAACCTTCAGGGCAGGAATCTCACCATAACTTGGTTAGATCTAACTGAATGAACCTTCAGGGCAGGAATCTCACCATAACTTGGTTAGATCTAACTGAATGAACCTTCAGGGCAGGAATCTTACCGATTTGTCCTCCGTCTCCAGCTCCAGGCCTGCCTTCTGTAGGTTAGCTTCATACTCCCTCCGCCTCTCCTGTTGAGAAACAAAATAATAAAGGAGAGGAGAGGAGAGGAGAGGAGAGGAGAGGAGAGGAGAGGAGAGGAGAGGAGAGGAGAGGAGAGGAGAGGAGAGGAGAGGAGAGGAGAGGAGAGGAGAGGAGAGGAGAGGAGAGGAGAGGAGAGGAACATAAAAACTAGCAACAGTCATCAAAATTATTAAAAGGTTTTAAAAACAATTCTAATAAATGCAACAGTTGGACAATAGATTACATCTAAAAAATACTTTATATTGTTTGCAAGATGAGACATAATATCACTATAATCTGAGTGTTCATTTTCAGAAGTTGCTTTCATTTCAGCGCATCTAATTTCAACTGTATTAAAAAAGTACTTTTTTCAATCCCACAAAAAATGTACACCCATCAAAATAAAAGTATCTTTCTACTCTTTATTGTGATGTAAGTGTCAATGCGAAGCTTTAGCGTTCTTATAGATTCAACTGAATGCCAATGTATCCCATTGAGCACGTCAGCCATTACCGGGGTGTGTATGACAGGTCATTGCGATCATTTCCGTGGTCGTACCGTTAACGGGAAAATACAACAGGCACAAGCAAGAGAATGAAAGAGTCACAGGAGTGAAATGAAAGCAATCAAATCCAGCGAGATTTAAGTGATTAGTGGATTTTCCATTCCTCAAACACAGGAAATACTGCAGATGGCGTAAAAAGACAGATCCTCAGCTGGGTGGGGTATGCCCGTTGCTACAGAAACGCACAGAAATGGGAGTTGATCTGTTTGAGTTGGCACTAGAAATATACAATTTCCTCAATCAATCTCACTGCTTTGTCATCTGAATGTATAACATTCTGGGAATAGTGACTGTGTGTGTGTATGAATAGTGACTGTGTGTGTGTATGTGTGTGTATGAATAGTGACTGTGTGTGTGTATGAATAGTGACTGTGTGTGTGTGTATGTGTGTGTATGAATAGTGACTGTGTGTGTGTGTATGAATAGTGACTGTGTGTGTATGTGTGTGTATGAATAGTGACTGTGTGTGTGTATGTGTGTGTATGAATAGTGACTGTGTGTGTATGTGTGTGTATGAATAGTGACTGTGTGTGTGTATGTGTGTGTATGAATAGTGACTGTGTGTGTGTATGTGTGTGTCTGAATAGTGACTGTGTGTGTGTATGAATAGTGACTGGTGTGTGTGTATGTGTGTGTATGAATAGTGACTGTGTGTGTGTGTATGAATAGTGACTGTGTGTGTCTGAATAGTGACTGTGTGTGTGTATGAATAGTGACTGTGTGTGTGTATGAATAGTGACTGTGTGTGTGTGTATGTGTGTGTATGAATAGTGACTGTGTGTGTGTGTATGAATAGTGACTGTGTGTGTATGTGTGTGTATGAATAGTGACTGTGTGTGTGTATGTGTGTGTATGTTGCTCCCCTTCTCAAGAAACCAACACTCGATCCCACTGATGTCAACAACTACAGACCAGTATCCCTTCTTTCTTTTCTTTCCAAAACTATTGAGCGTGCCGTCTTTAGCCAACTCTCTTGCTATCTCTCTCAGAATGACCTTCTTGATCCAAACCAGTCAGGTTTCAGGACTGGTCATTCAACTGAGACTGCTCTTCTCTGTGTCACGGAGGCTCTCCGCACTGCTAAAGCTAACTCTCTCTCCTCTGCTCTTGTCCTTCTAGACCTGTCTGCTGCCTTTGATACTGTGAACCATCAGATCCTCCTCTCCACCCTCTCCGAGCTGGGCATCTCCGGCGCGGCTCACTCCTGGATTGCGTCCTACCTGACCGGTCGCTCCTACCAAGTGGCGTGGCGAGAAGCTGTCTCCGCACCACGTGCTCTCACCACTGGTGTCCCCCAGGGCTCAGTCCTAGGCCCTCTCCTTTTCTCCCTATACACCAAGTCACTTGGCTCTGTCATATCCTCACATGGCCTCTCCTATCATTGCTACGCTGACGATACACAACTAATCTTCTCCTTTCCCCCTTCTGATAACCAGGTGGCGAATCGCATCTCTGCATGTCTGGCAGACATATCAGTATGGATGACGGATCACCACCTCAAGCTGAACCCTGGCAAGACGGAGCTGCTCTTCCTCCCGGGGAAGGACTGCCCGTTCCATGATCTCGCCATCACGGTTGACAACTCCGCTGTGTCCTCCTCCCCAGAGTGCGAAGAGCCTAGGCGTGACCCTGGACAACACCCTGTCGTTCTCCGCCAACATCAAGGCGGTGACCCGCTCCTGCAGGTTCATGCTCTACAACATTCGGAGAGTACGACCCTGCCTTACACAGGAAGCGGCACAGGTCCTAATCCAGGCACTTGTCATCTCCCGTCTGGACTACTGCAACTCGCTGTTGGCTGGCCTCCCTGCCTGTGCCATTAAACCCCTACAACTCATCCAGAATGCCGCAGCCCGTCTGGTGTTCAACCTTCCCAAGTTCTCTCACGTCACCCCCCTCCTCCGCACACTCCACTGGCTTCCAGTTGAAGCTCGCATCCGCTACAAGACCATGGTGCTTGCCTATGGAGCAGTGAGGGGAACGGCACCTCTGTACCTTCGGGCTCTGATCAGTCCCTACACCCAAACGAGGGCATTGCGTTCATCCACCTCTGGCCTGCTGGCTCCCCTTCCTCTGCGGAAGCATAGTTCCCGCTCAGCCCAGTCAAAACTGTTCGCTGCTCTGGCACCCCCAATGGTTGGAACAAGCTCCCTCACGACGCCAGGACAGCGGAGTCACTCACCACCTTCTGGAGGCATTTGAAACCCCACCTCTTTAAGGAATACCTGGGATAGGATAAAGTAATCCTTCTACCCCCCCCCCCCCCCCCCCCCCCCAAAATTGTAAAGTGGTTATCCCACTGGCTATAGGGTGAATGCACCAATTGGTGAGTCGCTCTGGATAAGAGCGTCTGCCTAAATGACGTAAATGTGCCCTTGAGCAAGGCACTTAACCCTAATTGCTCCTGTAAGTCGCTCTGGATAAGAGCGTCTGCTAAATGACTTAAATGTAAATGTAAATGTAAATGTAATGTAAATGTATGAATAGTGACTGTGTGTGTGTATGAATAGTGACTGTGTGTGTGTATGTGTGTGTATGAATAGTGACTGTGTGTGTGTGTATGAATAGTGACTGTGTGTGTGTATATGTGTGTATGAATAGTGACTGTGTGTGTGTATGTGTGTGTCTGAATAGTGACTGTGTGTGTGTATATGTGTGTATGAATAGTGACTGTGTGTGTGTATGTGTGTGTATGAATAGTGACTGTGTGTGTGTATGAATAGTGACTGTGTGTGTGTGTATGTGTGTGTATGAATAGTGACTGTGTGTGTGTGTATGAATAGTGACTGTGTGTGTATGTGTGTGTATGAATAGTGACTGTGGTGTGTGTTGAGTATGTGTGTGTTATGGCTGATGGGACTGTGTGTGTATGAATGGTGATGTGTGTGTGTATGTGTGTGTGTATTGAATAGTGACTGTGTGTTGTGTGTATGAATAGTGACTGTGTGTGTGTATATGTGTGTATGAATAGTGACTGTGTGTGTGTATGTGTGTGTCTGAATAGTGACTGTGTGTGGTGTATATGTGTGTCTGGGAAAAGTGACTGTGTGTGGGGTATATGTGTGTCTGAATAGTGACTGTGTGTGTGTATGTGTGTGTATGAATAGTGACTGTGTGTGTGTATGAATAGTGACTGTGTGTGTGTGTATATGTGTGTATGAATAGTGACTGTGTGTGTGTATGTGTGTGTATGAATAGTGACTGTGTGTGTGTGTATGAATAGTGACTGTGTGTGTGTGTATCTGTGTGTATGACTAGTGACTGTGTGTGTGTTGTGTGTTGTCTGAATAGTGACTGTGTGTGTATGTGTGGTGTCTGAATAGTGACTGTGTGTGGTATGAATAGTGACTGTGGTGTGTGTATGTGTGTGTCTGAATAGTGACTGTGTGTGTGTATGATAGTGACTGTGTGTGTGTGTATGTGTGTGTCTGAATAGTGACTGTGTGTGTGTATGAATAGTGACTGTGTGTGTGTGTATGTGTGTGTCTGAATAGTGACTGTGTGTGTGTATGAATAGTGACTGTGTGTGTGTATGTGTGTGTATGAATAGTGACTGTGTGTGTGTATGTGTGTGTTGAATAGTGACTGTGTGTGTTGTATGTGTGTGTCTGAATGTGATTGTGTGTGTGTATGAATAGTGACTGTGTGTGTGTTGTGATGTTGTGTGTGTATGAATAGTGACTGTGTGTGTGTATGTGTGTGTATGAATAGTGACTGTGTGTGTGTATATGTGTGTCTGAATAGTGACTGTGTGTGTGGTATATGTGTGTCTGAATAGTGACTGTGTGTGTGTATGAATAGTGACTGTGTGTGTGTTATGAATAGTGACTGTGTGTGTGTGTATGAATAGTGACTGTGGGGTGTGTTTTATTTTGTGTGTATGAATAGTGACTGTGTGTGTGTATGTGTGTGTATGATAGTGACTGTGTGTGTGTATGTGTGTGTCTGAATAGTGACTGTGTGTGTGTTATGTGTGTGTCTGAATAGTGATGTGTGTGTGTGTTGTATGAATAGTGACTGTGTGTGTGTATGAATAGTGACTGTGTGTGTGTGTTGAATAGTGACTGTGGTGTGTGTAGTGTGTGATGAATAGTGACTGTGTGTGTGTATGAATAGTGACTGTGTGTGTGTATGTGTGTGTATGAGTAGTGACTGTGTGTGTGTATGTGTGTGTATGAATAGTGACTGTGTGTGTGTATATGGTGTTCTGAATAGGACGTGGTGGTCATGTGTGTGTATGAATGTGGGAATGTGTGTGTGGATGAATGGAACTGTGTGTGTGCAAAGGCTGATGTCATGAATAGTGACGTGTGTCCGTCTGAATAGTGACGGTGTGCGTGTGACGTGTGTGAAGAAGAGTACACGAATAGTGACTGACAGTGTGTGTATAGGGTGTGATGAATAGTGACTGTGATGTGTGTGATGCTAGTGTGTATGAATAGTGACTGCGTGTGAGCTGTGCCCTGAGAGTTCAACCAGGACTAAGGGTCAGTGTGGGCAGGCAGTGAGAGTGGTGAATGTGTGAGTTTCAGGACAGACAGACACAGCAGAGCTGACTGACAACAGAGCTGACTGACACCAGAGCTGACAGACAACAGAGCTGACTGACACCAGAGCTGACTGACAACAGAGGCGACTGACAGCAGAGCTGACTGACACCAGAGCTGACAGACAACAGAGCTGACTGACACCAGAGCTGACAGACAACAGAGCTGACTGACACCAGAGCTGACTGACAACAGAGGCGACTGACAGCAGAGCTGACTGACACCAGAGCTGACTGACACCAGAGCTGACTGACACCAGAGCTGACTGACAGCAGAGCTGACTGACACCAGAACTGACTGACAACAGAGCTGACTGACAGCAGAGCTGACTGACACCAGAACTGACTGACAGCAGAGCTGACTGACAGCAGAGCTGACTGACACCAGAGCTGACTGACAGCAGAGCTGACTGACACCAGAGCTGACTGACACCAGAGCTGACTGACAGCAGAGCTGACTGACACCAGAGCTGACTGACACCAGAGCTGACTGACACCAGAGCTGACTGACACCAGAGCTGACTGACAGCAGAGCTGACAGGCCTCCCAGTCATGGAGTAACAGTAACAGCAAGGTGTGAGGGTTAACACCCCAGTCACAGACACGTTGGACCATTCATCACTCTGAAGCTACTAGCCCCTGGGCTAGCTGTATCCAAACATACAGTCTGTAGCTACTAGCCCCTGGGCTAGCTGTATCCAAACATACAGTCTGAAGCTACTAGCCCCTGGGCTAGCTGTATCCAAACATACAGTCTGTAGCTACTAGCCCCTGGGCTAGCTGTATCCAAACTACAGTCTGTAGCTACTAGCCCCTGGGCTAGCGTATCCAAACATACAGTCTGTAGCTCTAGCCCCTGGGGCTAGCTGTATCCAAACATACAGTCTGTAGCTACTAGCCCCCTGGGCTAGCTGTATCCAACATACATTCGGTAGCTACTAGCCCCTGGGCTAGCTGTATCCAAACATACAGTCTGTAGCTACTAGCCCATGGGCTAGCTGTATCCAACATAAGTCTGTTGCTACTAGCCCCTGGGCTAGCTGTATCCAAACATACAGTCTGTAGCTACTAGCCCCTGGGCTAGCTGTATCCAAAACATACAGTCTGGTAGCTACTAGCCCCTGGGCTAGCTGTATCCAAACATACAGTCTGGTAGCTACTAGCCCTGGGCTAGCTGTATCCAAACATACAGTCTGTAGCTACTAGCCCCTGGGCTAGCTGTATCCAAACATACAGTCTGTTTGCTACTAGCCCCTGGGCTAGCTGTATCCAAACATACAGTCTGAAGCTACTAGCCCCTGGGCTAGCTGTATCCAAACATACAGTCTGTAGCTACTAGCCCCTTGGGCTAGCTGTATCCAAACATACAGTCTGAAGCTACTAGTCCCTGGGCTAGCTGTATCCAAACATACAGTCCTGTAAGCTACTAGCCCCTGGGCTAGCTGTATCCAAACATACAGTCTGAAGCTACTAGCCCCTGGGCTAGCTGTATCCAAACATACAGTCTGTAGCTACTAGCCCCTGGGCTAGCTGTATCCAAACATACAGTCTGTAGCTACTAGCTGTATCCAAACATACAGTCTGTAGCTACTAGCCCCTGGGTAGCTGTATCCAAACATACAGTCTGTAGCTACTAGCCCCTGGGCTAGCTGTATCCAAACATACAGTCTGTAGCTACTAGCCCCTGGGCTAGCTGTATCCAAACATACAGTCTGTAGCTACTAGCCCCTGGGCTAGCTGTATCCAAACATACAGTCTGTAGCTACTAGCCCCTGGGCTAGCTGTATCCAAACATACAGTCTGTAGCTACTAGCCCCTGGGCTAGCTGTATCCAAACATACAGTCTGTAGCTACTAGCCCCTGGGCTAGCTGTATCCAAACATACAGTCTGTAGCTACTGACCAGGCCAGCCCAGTAGCCAAACGTATGGGGACATGGCAGGGCCATTCACGCTGTGTCACAGTTCACACAGCATGTAAATACTACTCAAATATACGTTGTACTCAAATACACTAAAATAACTAATTTAACAAGGAAACTAAGGGTCAATTCAAGGCTACCTCAAAAGCAAGTCTGATGATAAGGACATTCCATTCCATGGGGCTGGCTAGGAATGAGGCATTATAGCTACTGTAGCTTATCTCAAATTTTTATTTTGTGTCTTGTTTCAAGGTATTTGTAGCTTATCTCTTGATATATTCAAGGGAAAATCCACTCAAAAAACTATATTTTGGTATTTTCTTCATTAGTCCACTGTTGATACAATCCCAAAATGTTTTGCATGTTAGCAGTCAAGATTTCAAGACGTTGGACTTTCAAGAAGCAAAGTGTGTCACCGGCCGTTTTCCCCTTTAACACCATCAACATAGTCAGTGAACAGTTTGGCAAGAGAAAACTAGCTGGTCCTGACAACTGACTGTGTATTACGGCACGCTTCTATAGTGACTCACACTGTATAACTGTAGTATTGTCAACTACTAGAGTCATGTAGCCTGGTTAAACCAGACTGAATGCTGAACTCACAATGGAGCGGAGCATTCAGTTTGGTTTAACCCAGGCTAAGTGTCCTGTGCTCAGAAACCAGCACCTAGTCTCACTGAGAATTACAGTACATTGAAAAAAACCTGTGATAACTAGCAATTGCATTTAACAGGTAATAGCTACAGTAATATTGAGCACAGGTGTGTTTCTGAAGGTGTATCTTACCTGTTTCCTCTCTCCGTCTCGGTCATCCACATAGGACAGGATGAAGTCAATCCTCCTCTTTCCATCACGGAAGAACACAGAGTCCTTACTCTGTTGATGCTTGTCAACCTGGGAGGAGACAGACAATACACACACACACACACACACACACACACACACACACACACACACACAACACACACACACACACACACACACACACACACACACACACACACACACACACACACACACACACACACACAAACACAGTCAGCTGAAATACACAGACGTTTTCCCAGACACACATTAAGTCCTTGACTAAAAAGTTATATCAATAGAGATATTATGTGTCTGGGAAGTTGGACCATAAAGTACATAATCATAAAGGAAAGATGCCTTCAGAAACGTAGACAGCCTTCAGTTCACTCCAACTCCAAACGTTACCTACACAGGCGTTTCAAGGCAGAATCAAACAGTAGCTGAACACATTATTCAGTTGGTAGGGCATGGCGCTTGCAACACCAGGGTTGTGGGTTCGTTTCCCACGGGGGGGCAGTATGAAAAATGTATGCACTCACTAACTGTAAGTCGCTCTGGATAAGAGCGTCTGCTAAATGACAAAAAAAAAAAAATCAAAATATTGAATACAGCCAAGCTCTGAGCCACTCATCCACAGCACAGCAACCCCACTGCAAATCAATCCATATACTGTCACTGTAACTAGATACGGATGAAGAATCACACACAGCGTCACAGTAGAGTCGGATGATGAGGTCATGCAAGGAGCAGGAGCAACGCAATTCAATTTCAACCATGGCTTAGAGTGGAACTGACAGCGTTTTAACTACTTTGCAGATATGAAACAAACAGACAATCATAATATCAGTCAAAAAATATCAAATTCCCAGTTTATGCTACAAAAACCAACTTTGTAAGAGGTTTTAAAAATAGGATACATTTGACTCAACGTTCCATGACGTACACTAAGGCATTGTTGGCAGAATAGATGGATGCAGTTCAATGCATGATTAATATAATTCACCAATATATTTTTTGGTAGTCCCAAACAGATTGCTATCAGGTTGTAAATCACAGCTGGCCTGGTACAGTGTTTGCTGCCTGCATTCGGGATGCACTGTTTCAGTTTCAATGATTTAATATTCTGGACAAAAACGGCTGAATGTAACTAAGGCTGGGAATGTCAATACATTCAAACTAGCAAGGGCAGAGATCACAAGTCAGTCATAACGTGGCTAATAGGCTAGCGTATCTATTTATGTAGCAAGCTAAAAACACAGAGCCTAACGTTAGCTCGATAGCTAGCTGCTAGGAGGATGTAATGCCATTGGAGGAGTGGGTGAGTGACTGACTTTTTCCCCTCATATCGTTTTTAAGTGGCTATACACAGCTAGAGATGCAGGTGTCATTTGGTTAGCTAGCAAGAACTTGAACGACTGTTATCCAGTTAGCATATCTCTTGCGTTCGCAAATTCACTCTGGCTATCTACTCTGATTTCAGAGCAGTCTCATCTGAGTGTGCCAGAGTGATGTATTTACGAACGCGCAACACCCGCTGAATATGACCGGTGTCAGTAAAGTACTATTTAGTCACCAACGCTCTAGATAACATGTAAACAGCCTAACCAGCTCTGCTACGCCGAGTAAAATGGTCAGAGTGAGGTGTTCTCTCATTTGTGTCTGGAAGTAGCTAGCAAGCAAGCTAGCCAACTCTAGCCAGTTATCTTGGGTGCTTGGTTGGTACAAACATGCATTGGCAGGCAAGCTGCTGAAGGACGAGGAGGCTACATTTCCACATCATTTATCAGTGCAATTTTGACGGCCAACTAGCTGAAAAAGTTTGAGAGGGTTTATCTAAATGTTCCTTCGTTAGATTTTAGCTTATCTTGCTCTGGCTAGCATTAGTTGTTGATCTTGTTGTTGATGTTCATAACTGAGGGAGAGAGAGCCTACCTTTTCATGGTTGTTTGATCAATAGGACTGTAAAGTTCCCAAATGTAAGAGGTTCCATTGTTCTATGTTCCATTGAGCATGGTTCCATTGTTCTATATTCCATTGAGCATGGTTCCATTGTTCTATATTCTATTGAGCATGGTTCCATTGTTCTATGTTCCATTGAGCATGGTTCCATTGTTCTATATTCCATTGAGCATGGTTCCATTGTTCCTTGTTCCATTGAGCATGGTTCCATTGTTCTATGTTCCATTGAGCATGGTTCCATTGTTCTATGTTCCATTGAGCATGGTTCCATTGTTCTATGTTCCATTGAGCATGGTTCCATTGTTCTATGTTCCATTGAGCATGGTTCCATTGTTCTATGTTCCATTGAGCATGGTCCCATTGTTCTATGTTCCATTGAGCATGGTTCCATTGTTCTATGTTCCATTGAGCATGGTTCCATTGTTCTATGTTCCATTGAGCATGGTTCCATTGTTCTATATTCCATTGAGCGTGGTTCAGGTTGGCCATATGAAAGAAAAATGCGGTGTTGTTGTTGTCTTACAGTAACATTATGCTATTATATTATATTGGGTTCTGTTATGTAGAATATTATCATTGTGATCTTGCAGACATTGATTCAGCTTTGATCTTACTTTGTTAAACAATCACCATTGGCCAGAGTAGCCTGTTCTCTACGACTAGAGCAGAGACCGTTCGTAAAGGAGAGAACAGAAACATGAGCCGAACGTTATCCGCACATGTGCAGAAGCATCGGGATCTTTAGTGCGGAGAAAAAAGATCAGGGAAAAGTTTGATCCGCAGCCACTCCGTACATTCTAAGTAGCGTTCTAGTGATATAACTTACCTAACTTCTGTCTGGCAGGCTGGTGGGAGGAGCTATAGGAGGACGGGCTCATTGTAATGGCTGGGATGGAATCGATGGAACGGAGTCAAACGTGGAGTTGGCTGACAACGTCATGAAAATGATGCGTGCGCATCGATGTGGCCCGAAGGTGTATGATTCTGAACAGTCAGATCGCTAGCAACAATGACAAGAAGCTGCCTTGTGGGGAATCATAGGTCGTCCATGCTAATATGGCAAAGATTCGCTAGCTAGCTAACCAATAACTGTAACGATGTATTTGAGAGACAACAAGTGCTCATTGTCCAAATGTATTTATGTTTTCAATAAACATTTGGAGACTAAATATAGTTGACATGTTGTCAACAGCCTAAGCCAACCCCGTCTGTTTTTCCGCATAGTTGCGCAAGCGTCGGTTTTGTTGCTAAACAACCAACCCGTCTATGTGTTTGATACGTTCATTCATTCCATTCCAGCCATTACAATGAGCCTGTCCTCCTATTGCTCCTCCCACCAGCCTCCTCTGATATCTGCGTGCATCCAGCCTGGGCCTAGACTGATCCCAGATCTGTTTGAGCTGTCTTGCCAGATAGACAGCAATAGATCTAGGTTCAGGCTAACATGGACTCGACCTTTGAACTCTAAATCCACTTCCGATTTATTTTCTTCTTTAGAATTTGGAGCACCTTTTTGAAACTCTGCCTTTGGGTAACTGAACGACCACTCCCACCCCCCCCCAGAGGAGATCCCAGCCATGTTGACCAAGCACTGCAGCCTCTGCAATGGGCCAAGCGGTATGATACAGCCTGCAGAGAAAGAAATAGCCTGCTCTTTCACCCTGCTCTGACACACACACAGGAAGGAATGCCCTATTGAGAAAGAGGAGACCTGTTCCAGCTGTTCACATACCTATAAATAACTAAGCAACTGAACCACATATTCTAGAGCTGGCCGTGCTATCACAGTTCCAGTCTGGACAGGATCACATGCTAATAGAATTAGCACAACAAACACACTGGACATAGACGTCCGGCCAACACACTAGGTCTAGTTCTGCTCTCAGTATCCTCTACCCATAAAAAAAACTGGACAGGACCCTAGCTGCATGTAGAATTAGCACAACAAACCACTAGGCCTAGACATCCCCTTTAGTCTACCCTCACAAACACAGTGATGCTGCCCTGTCCCAATAGATATGAATAGCATCATCCTCATAGAACCACTAGGCCTACTAGTTCCAGTCAACACATAGTGTAATCATCCTCTAGTCCCGTTCACTCACACAGAGTCCTCCTTGTCTTGTCCTTCCGTCTGGACAGGACAATCCTCGCTGCTCATAGATTTACTGTAGCATAACAACAACCATTGGCCAGGTAGTCCCCAGTCTCCCAGTCTCCCAGTCTCCCAGTACACCAGTACCCCGTTCCCCAGTCTCCAGTCCCCCAGTTCCCCAGTCTCCCAGTTCCCCAGTTCTCCAGTCTCCCAGTTCCCCAGTCTCCCAGTTCCCCAGTCTCCAGTCTCCCAGTTCCCCAGTCTCCAGTCTCCCAGTTCCCCAGTCTCCCAGTTCCCCAGTCTCCAGTCTCCAGTCCCCCAGTCTCCCAGTACACCAGTACCCCGTTCCCCAGTCTCCAGTCCCCCAGTCTCCCGTTCCCCAGTCTCCCAGTCTCCCAGTACACCAGTACCCCGTCCCCCATCCCCCAGTCTCCAGACCCTCAGTCTCCCAGTTCCCCAGTCTCCCAGTTCCCCAGTCTCCCAGTCCCCCAGTCTCCATACCCTCAGTCTCCCAGTCCCCCAGTCTCCCAGTACCCCAGTCCCCCAGTCTCCCAGTACCCCAGTCCCCCAGTCTCCCAGTCCCCCAGTCCCCCAGTACTCCGCCTCCCAGTCCCTCAGTACCCCGTCCCCCAGTCTCCCGTCCCCCAGTCCCCAGTCTCCCAGTCCCACAGTACCCCGTCTCACAGTCCCCCTGTCTCCCAGTCTCCAGTCTCCCAGTTCCCCAGTCTCCCAGTCCCCCAGTCTCCCAGTCCTCCAGTCTCCAGTCCTCCAGTCTCCAGTCTCCCAGTCTCCAGTCTCCAATCCCCAGTATCCACACCCTCTACCTCTCACAAACACATTGATTGATTGTTACCGTAGCTAGAGTAAGAGGGGGAGGAGAGGAGAAGAAGAAGAGCACTTGACCTCCTCTTTAGTCTACCCTCACAAGAGAAGAAGAAGAGCACTTGACCTCCTCTTTAGTCTACCCTCACAAGAGAAGAAGAAGAGCACTTGACCTCCTCTTCCATGGCCTTCTCTCTGGATAGTACAGTGCATTCGGAAAGTATTCAGACCCCTTGACTTTTTCCACATTTTGTTACGTTACAGCCTTATTCTAAAATGGATTAAATTGTTTTTTCCCCCTCGTCAATCTACACACAATACCCCATAATGATGAAGCAAAAACTGGTTTTTAGACAATTTTGCACATTTATAAAAATATAAATGGAAATATCACATTTACGTAAGTATTCATACCTTTAACTCAGCACTTTGTTGAAGCACCTTTAGCAGTGATTACAGCCTCAATTCTTCTTGGGTATGACGCTACAAGCTTGGCACACCTGTAGTTTGGGAGTTTCTCCAATTCTTCTCTGCAGATCCTCTCAAGCTCTGTCAGGTTGGATGGGGAGCGATGCTGCACAGCTATTTTCAGGTCTCTCCAGAGATGTTCGATCGGGTTTAAGTCCAGGCTCTGGCTGGGCCACTCAAGGACATTCAGAGACTTGTCCCAAAGCCACTCCTGCGTTGTCTTGGCTGTGTGTTTAGGGTCGTTGTCCTGTTGGAAGGTGAACCTTCGCCCAGGCTGAGGTCCTGAGCGCTCTGGAGCAGATTTTCATCAAGGATCTCTCTGTCCTCCGTTCATCTTTGCCTTGATCCTGACTAGTCTCCCAGTCCCTGCCGCTGAAAAACATCCCCACAGCATGATGCTGCTACCACCATGCTTCACCGTAGGGTTGGAGCCAGGTTTCCTCCAGACGTGACACTTGGCATTCAGGCCAAAGAGTTCAATCTTGTTTAATCAGACCAGATAATCTTGTTTCTCATGGTCTGAGAGTCCTTTAGGTGCCTTTTGGCAAATTCCAAGTGGGTTGTCATGTGCCTTTTACTGAGGAGTGGCTTCCGTCTGGCCACTCTACCATAAAGGCCTGATTGGTGGAGTGCTGCAGAGATGGTTGTTCTTCTGGAAGGTTCTCCCATCTCCACAAAGGAACTCTGGAGCTCTGTCAGAGTGACCATCAGGTTCTTGGTCACCTCCCTGACCAAGCCCCTTCTCCCCCGATTGCTCAGTTTGGCCGGTCGGCCAGCTCTAGGAAGAGTCTTGGTGGTTCCAAACTTCTTCCATTTAAGAATGATGGAGGCCACTGTGTTCTTGGGGACCTTCAATGCTGCAGACATTTTTTGGTACCCTTCTCCAGATCTGTGCCTCGACACAATCCTGTCTCGGAGCTCTACGGACAATTCCTTCGACCTCATGGCTTGGTTTTTGCTCTAACATGCACTGTCAACTGTGGGACTTTATATAGACAGGTGTGTGCCTTTCCAAATAATTTCCAATCAATTGAATTTACCACAGGTGGACTCCAATCAAGTTGTAGAAACATCTCAAGCATGATCAATGGAAACAGGATGCACCTGAGCTCAAAATCGAGTCTCATAGCAAAGGGTCTGAATACTTATGTAAATAAGGTATTACTGTTTTTTATTTTTATAAAATGTGCAAAAATGTCAAAAAACTTATTTTCGCTTTGTCATTATGGGGTATTGTGTGTAGATTGATGATGAAAAAAATGCATTTAATCAATTTTAGAATGAGGCTGTAACGTAACAAAATGTGGAAAAAGTAAAGAGGTCTGAATACTTTCCGAAGGCACTGTATGTCTGCCAAGCATCAGCTGTGACTCCCGCTATGTCTGCATCTGCTGTGACTCCCGCTATGTCTGCATCTGCTGTGACTCCCACTATGTCTGCATCAGCTGTGACTACCTTCTATGTCTGCATCTGCTGAAAGGCAGCTGGGTCTTTTACACAGCCAGAGTGCTTTCTTCTGGGTGCAACACGGACAACAAGCCCCTAACTCACTCACTCTCTCCCCTTCTCCTCACATGCTCATACTTCACCAGTCCTGTAACAAGCCCACACTCACTCAGACATCGAGAGAGAGAGAGAGAGAGGAGGTTCTAATGTAGTAACAGATATTTGGCTCATGAATGCATTTTTTATCTATACCTCGAACATTCATGTTGTTCTGTACATTCCCATGATGATAGAAAAACAGGGCATTAAAACCGGGTGTTCAAACAGGGCATTAAAACAGATTACCCTTTTTTGTTTTCTTGGATAAACAAAAACTTGAATCAGGTCGATTAAAGCAAGATATTCTAGAGATATATATATTTTATTTTTAAAGGATATGTATGTGTATATATGTATATGTATATGTGTATGTATGTGTGTATGTGTATGTATATATGTGTGTATATATACAGTGGGGAGAACAAGTATTTGATACACTGCCGATTTTGCAGGTTTTTCTACTTACAAAGCATGTAGAGGTCTGTAATTTTTATCATAGGTACACTTCAACTGTGAGAGACGGAATCTAAAACAAAAATCCAGAAAATCACATTGTATGATTTTTAAGTAATTAATTTGCATTTTATTGCATGACATAAGTATTTGATCACCTACCAACCAGTAAGAATTCCGGCTCTCACAGACCTGTTCGTTTTTCTTTAAGAAGCCCTCATGTTCTCCACTCATTACCTGTGTTAACTGCACCTGTTTGAACTTGTTACCTGTATAAAAGACACCTGTCCACACACTCAATCAAACAGACTCCAACCTCTCCACAATGGCCAAGAACAGAGAGCTGTGTAAGGACATCAGGGATAAAATTGTAGACCTGCACAAGGCTGGGATGGGCTACATGACAATAGGCAAGCAGCTTGGTGAGAAGGCAACAGCTGTTGGCGCAATTATTAGAAAAGGAAAGAAGTTCAAGATGACGGTCAATCACCCTCGGTCTGGGGCTCCATGCAAGATCTCACCTCGTGGGGCATCAATGATCATAAGGAAGGTGAGGGATCAGCCCAGAACTACACGGCAGGACCTGGTCAATGACCTGAAGAGAGCTGGGACCACAGTCTCAAATAAAACCATTAGTAACACACTACGCCGTCATGGATTAAAATCCTGCAGCGCACGCAAGGTCCTCCTGCTCAAGCCAGCGCATGTCCAGGCCCGTTTGAAGTTTGCCAATGACCATCTGGATGATCCAGAGGAGGAATGGGAGAAGGTCATGTGGTCTGATGAGACAAAAATAGAGCTTTTTGGTCTAAACTCCACTCGCCGTGTTTGGAGGAAGAAGAAGGATGAGTTCAACCCCAAGAACACCATCCCAACCGTGAAGCATGGAGGTGGAAACATCATTCTTTGGGGATGCTTTTCTGCAAAGGGGACAGGACGACTGCACCGTATTGAGGGGAGGATGGATGGGGCCATGTATCGCGAGATCTTGGCCAACAACCTCCTTCCCTCAGTAAGAGCATTGAAGATGGGTCGTGGCTGGGTCTTCCAGCATGACAACGACCCAAAACACACAGCCAGGGCAACTAAGCAGTGGCTCCGTAAGAAGCATCTCAAGGTCCTAGAGTGGCCTAGCCAGTCTCCAGACCTGAACCCAATAGAACATCTTTGGAGGGAGCTGAAAGTCCGTATTGCCCAACGACAGCCCCGAAACCTGAAGGATCTGGAGAAGGTCTGTATGGAGGAGTGGGCCAAAATCCCTGCTGCAGTGTGTGCAAACCTGGTCAAGACCTACAGGAAACGTATGATCTCTGTAAATGCAAACAAAGGTTTCTGTACCAAATATTAAGTTCTGCTTTTCTGATGTATCAAATACTTATGTCATGCAATAAAATGCAAATTATTTACTTAAAAATCATACAATGTGATTTTCTGGATTTTTGTTTTAGATTCTGCCTCTCACAGTTGAAGTGTACCTATGATAAAAATTACAGACCTCTACATGCTTTGTAAGTAGGAAAACCTGCTAAATCGGCAGTGTATCAAATACTTGTTCTCCCCACTGTATATATATATATATATATATATATATATATATATATATATAAACATAAACATGGGGGATTGGAAGTGATGCAGACAATTACATTGATGGAAGTTACAATCTATCTGCAATATTAAAGCTGATCTACCCCCCCCGCCCAAAAAATTATATATATATATATATATATATATATATATATTCTAGAGATACTGAACCCATCTCTGTCTAACAATAAGCTATTCAAGGAGCCTGTAACTGACGCTATAGAACACAAACAACCTTAAGACCTGAAAACAACGCTGGAGAACAAAGTACACAGAGCAGACAGGTTGCTAACACCGGACACCTGTTTGCCAGACCGGACATTCATTACTGGAACTGACTGGTTCATGTGTCATATCATTTACATGAGTGTCAACAAACCATCAGCTTGTGAAAAAAAACAATGAACTTCCTGTATTCACTTGTCCCCTGGCCTTAAAAACCCTTCAGTATTTGCAGATCTCTAAGGCGGGAATCAATATGGTAGAAGCTCCACCACTACACTGCTGATACCTACCCAGACACTTCAGATCTGCAGACATGGAAGGGTTAGGGCAGAGGGGAAAGGGTTAGGGCAGAGGGGAAAGGGTTAGGGCAGAGGGGAAAGGGTTAGGGCAGAGGGGGGAAAGGGTTAGGGCAGAGGGGAAAGGGTTAGGGGAAAGGGTTAGGGTAGAGGGGAAAGGGTTAGGGCAGAGGGGAAAGGGTTAGGGCAGAGGGGAAAGGGTTAGGGCAGAGGGGAAAGGGTTAGGGCAGAGGGGGGGAAAGGGTTAGGGCAGAGGGGAAAGGGTTCTAGGGCAGAGGGGAAAGGGTTAGGGAAAGGGTTAGGGCAGAGGGGAAAGGGTTAGGGCAGAGGGGGGGAAAGGGTTAGGGGAAAGGGTTAGGGCAGAGGGGAAAGGGTTGGGCAGAGGGGAAAGGTTAGGGGAAGGGTTAGGGCAGAGAGGGGGAAACG